TCTGTGTATGTGGAGCCGCCAGGCACCGCGCGGACTACCAACACCTCGCGGGGGGCGTGGATCGCTGGGCGACTCGCCGGCTCTTGGAGACTGGCCAGCTGGCGCCTGACGCCGCGGGCGCTCTGCGGACTGTGATCTCTGGCAATGTGATCACGGAGTCCGTAACCACCAAATCGGAGGGGCCGCAGGCGTGCCCCCATGGCGGGGCCGCAGTCGAGGACCTCGAACACTGGGCGTGCCCGCGATGGCAGACGACGCGCCACGCGGCTCTCGCCACAAGCGGCTGCACCGCGGCCGAGGCACGCGCTTGCCTGGCAGCCGAGACCGCGAGGACAGCGGTGCTCCCCCTGGACGCTCACCTGGCCGCGCTGGCCGCCGTGGCCCAGCAGGCGCTCCCGTTGCCGCCGCTCCCTGGCCCCGCCGCGGAGAAGCTGCTGCACGAGTGGGTCCGCGCCTGGACGGACAGTTCCTGCCTGCACCCAGGGGACCCCCTGCTCGCCCGGGCGGGATGGGGCGCGAAGTTGGAAAAACTTCCCTCTGGGCACATCGACCGCCGTGGCCAGGTTGACGGGCGGCGGACCGCCCAGCGCGCCGAGCTGTGGGCTGCGGTGCAGGCGTGCAGCCTAGCGGGGGCACCCGTTGACGTCATTACTGATTCCCGATTCGTGAGTCGCGGGGTGGCGGCGCTTCGAGGCGGCGCGAGCGAGACGAACTGGCCGCACGCCGACCTTTTGGAAGCAATCGCGCCGCGCTGCCGTAGCGGGCTGCTGCGGGCCCGCTGGGTCAAGGGCCACCTGGACCAGGCTGACGCCGCCGCCCGCGGCATCGCCCAAGCGGACTGGACTGGTAACGCCGCCACCGACAGGCTCGCCGACGCCGGCGCGCAAGCCCAACTCCCGCCTTCCGACTTGCGCCAGCGGCGGGCGAAGCAGCTGGACGCGCTCGAGGCGCTCCAACGCGCAGCAGCCGCAGTGGACTTGGCTGTTCTGAAAGCTAGTCACGGCCGCGGTCCAGGCGGGCCCAGGGCGCGGCGCCGCTGGGCCACGCCAGGGCACCGCCGGAGGCGCGCGCCCCGCGAGGGGGACGCGGCCGCGGTGGCCGCAGCCACGGCGTTGCCGCCGCAGCGCGGGCTGGGCGCCCCACCAGCGCCCGCGGCGGCACCAGCCTGGGGGCAGCCGCGGCGGCGCGGGACCTCTTCGCGGACCGCGCCTGGCTGGCGCACGCGGCGTCCCAGCGCCCAGCTTGGGTCGCCTGCATGCGCTGCGGGTGCGAGGCGCCGGCGTGGCCGCAGTTGGCCAGCCGCCCGTGCGGCGGGTGGGTGCCCGCGTTGCTGCCGCGAGCGGGCATGCTGCTGCTGCTGCCGGCAGCGCGCGCTGGCGGCAGCGAGGCGGCGTGGCGGGCCGTCCTCCAAGATCGGCTGGCGGCGCGCCCTGGCACGCGGCCGCGCGGGCGTGGGCTGTTGCCCCCTCGCCCTCTTTTTCCCTCCTCCTCCTCGGCTTTGTCGCCGTCGTCGTCTTCTCGTTCTTTCCCTCCTCTCGCTGCTAGGCCCCGTTGCGATGGTAAAAAGCGTATATATGTGTGTGTGTGTGTGTGTGTGTGTGTGTGTGTGTGTGTGTGTGTGTGTGTGTGTGTGTGTGTGTGTGTGTGTGTGTGCGTGTCTCTGTGTGTGTGCGTGCGTGCGTGTGCTTGTGTGTCTGCGTGCGCCTGTGTGCGGCTGTGTGCGTGTGTTCGGCTGTGCGTGCAGAGTGTGCTGGGCGGGCGGGACGGGGTGTGCACGGCGTGCGTGCGGAGTGTGCTCTGGAGGGACGGGTTGGGGGATGTACGGTGGGCGTGCGGGGTGTTCTGGGGGCTACGGGCGGGGGGGTGTTGTACGGTGGGCGTGCGGGATGTGTTCTGGGGGGGACGGGCGGGGGGATGCACGACATGCGTCTGGTCTGTGCGTGGCGTGCGTCTCTATATGGCCATTTGCGTTCTGTGGGTGAATCATGTGATATCTGTGTGTTGCATGCGTCGTGTATTGCGTCGTGTGGCAGTCCACGATGGCAACGACACTGACGATAGGATGACGATGGCGACTACGCTGAGCATGTCCTTGATGGTGACGACGATGATGATGCTGATAATGATGGCGATGGTGGTGACGATGGTAATGATGACGCGGATGCTGGTAATGATGATGATGCTGGTGATGATGGTCACCTACCCTGCTTGGGCTTAATGATTGCCTGTGCTTGCTTTGGTCAGCCGTGCCACGTGGCCTCTGTACGGGTGCGTGCGTATGTGCGTATGCGCGTGTGCTCGTAATTGCCTGTGCGTGTATATATATATATGTACATATATATATATATATATATATATATATATATATATATATATAAAAGTGTTGTTGTGTTGTGTGTGTGTGTGCGTGCGCCTATGTTTGCCTGTGTGTGCGGCCGTGTCAACGCGTGTGCGCAGGGGGTTCGTCGCCAACCTGTGTACCTAAAACTGCCTGGCCGTTTTAAACGGCATCGCCGTTCTGATGCGGATGGTGTTTCTAACCCAAAATGGACGGGGCCATTTCACCCGCGTGGCCGTTTAACCCGCTTGGCCGTTTTAGCCCGCATGGCAATTCCACCCGCCTGACCTTTGAACACTACATGGGTCGATCGTGGCCGTTTTAACCCGCGTGGCCGCTTTAGCCCGCCGAGCTGTTGACTCGCATCGCCGAACGATTCGCTAGATTTCGCGAGCGAACTCCGTGCTTCATGTTTCGAGGTGGTCTCGAGCGAGAGCCTCATGTTGCACGGCCGGCGTCTCAAACATAAGGTTTCAACATTTCACTTCTGAAAGCGACGGCAGCGCGAAACAAGAAAGGCGTGATCTTTGATTGCAAGGAAGTGATAAAACGCTTAGCAAGATACATCGGAAGCGCGCGTTGCAACGGGGGCTGCTTTGCGCCAAATGGGAAATGGCAACCGTTCCGAAGGCGACAACACAACAAATCCTTCCAAAACCCTCGGCGTGCTAAACAGCCCGATGATTGGCATTCGCAGCTGGCGCACGGCGCGACTGCGGGGCGCGTGCAGGAGGGGCGGGTGTCGGAGGGACCACCGTGAATCCCTGCGCTGGATGTTGCAGGACGAAAAAATCGCCGGGAAACATTATAACCCCTTGCGGGCGGGCGGACGGGCTAGACCGCCCCGCGCGGAGCAGGGGGCCCCCGGCTCAGTAACCGATTGCGACGGATCCCACGTCGATCCGAAGCTTGACCATACACGCGCGCCATGAGGGACATCATCTTCTGGCACCCTTCCTCGGGCGCCGCCGCCTCCGCGTGGTCACCCTCCCCCAACAGCCCTCCGGCGCGATGCCCAGTGCGCTGGAGGTTCTTGACGTAGACGTTCAGATAAGGCCGACCCTTGTCGGCGTGCCCGCTGCCGACTTTGAGTTCCACAAGCCCGAGTTTCAGCCGCTTCGGCGGCTCGTCGCGCGCGTCAAGAGCGTCGAAGTGAAAGCCTCCAGGCCGCACCTTGTTCGCCCACGCCCCTGCGGCGTTGACCTCCCGGAAGTGCATGTCCGAGCAACGTGCCCCCCAATCGACGCGCGTCCGCCTTTGCAACAAGCGGCGCATCCTCGACGGACGTTCCGCGCGGCGCGCTGACCAAGACGGGCGCGCCTGGCCTGGCCAAGTCGAACCGCTGACCGAACATGTTCTGCAAGTGCGGGTCGACGGCGGCGGAGGACGACGACGTTGTCGGCGCGGGCGTCGGTGCGAGCGTTGGCGCCGGCGTTAGCGCTGGCGTCGACGCCTCGGCCCCGAAGACACGAACGTGACTAGAACTTGATCCAGCACCGTCGTTGCCGTGTGCTCCAATGACCACGCGGCTGCCGTCGCTGCTCAGCGACGCCGAAATGCCACTCATATCGCCTCCGGCTTCACCATCGCTGTCCTGCCCCACCTGGCTCCAAGCGTTGCCCGAGAGCCCGAAGACGCGAACGTGGCCAGAACTTGTTCCCGCACCGTCGTTGACGCATGCTCCAATGGCCACGCGGCTGCCGTCGCTGCTCAGCGACGCCGGCCAGCCTCTCCGACCGCCTCCGGCTTCGCCATCGATGTCCTGCCCCACCTGGCTCCACGTGTTGCCCGAGAGCCCGAAGACGCGAACGTGACCAGAACTTGACCCCGCACCGTCGTTGCCCCATGCTCCAATGGCCACGCGGCTGCCGTCGCTGCTCAGCGACACTGACATGCCACTATCATCGATTGAGGCTTCACCATCGATGTCCTGCCCCACCTGGCTCCAAGCGCTGCCGGAGAGCCCGAAGACGCGAACGCGACCAGAACCTGATCCAGCACCGTCGTTGCCGCATGCTCCAATGGCCACGCGGCTGCCGTCGCTGCTCAGCGACGCCGATTTGCCGCTCAGATCGTGTCCGGCTTCGCCATCGATGTCCTGCCCCACCTGGCTCCAAGTGTGGCCGGAGAGCTCGAAAACG